ATAGAACTCAATGACATACACTCACAAACCTGAAAAAAACAATACATGGTGCTGGCAGACAAAATGATGAAATACCTTTGTTTTTTTACAAATATACATGTTTAGTAAACTACATACACTTACATTGAATGATTTTTGTAACGATTACGGAAAAAGAATTGTCATCGCTGACATTTAAACAAGCATTTTTCTAACCAAAATCAGAATTAGCGCCCCCTAAAAATCATCATCTGAAGGTGCAAAGCCCCGTGCATGCATGATCCTCAGAGTTTTATTGAGATAGTGTAAGAGAAAAGGTCTTTAAATTAGTTTTTTTTTGAAATGCGTTTTTTTTTGCAAAATTCGTAGCAATCCTGTATCTAGGCTTACGAGTTTACCAACAAGAAGCGCACCTGCTTTCAGTATGGAGCGTTTTTTCTTTCTTGTTTCACACCCCTCTTCTTTTTACGGCATTATGCCTTTGAGAATTGCATGGCTTCCTATCCTATTTCATTATTGGCCAGTTCACAAAGATGTCTCGTGAGATAGAGCGCAGGAAAGCAGACCAGTCTGTATGATTTTAAAAGTGCTTGGTTTATAAAAAAATCTTCATCATAAAATTACAAAAATTGTAGAAAACGAAGAAGACGAAGCCCATTCTTCAATGAATGTGAACAAAGAACTACTATCTAGTATCAATCTACTGAATCCAAATGGGATTGCTGTATGCGAATTGCTCAAGAATTTCCTGCCAATAACGCCATAAGTCTAACAGGCAGATTCTGAAAAAGACAACTATTAGCAGACCACGATGATTTGATTACTCCAAAGATGCCGATCAACTGCTGAACTAGTCACGACGACAAAAAATGTTGATAATAGCAACAACAAAGGCTCCATCTCACTATGAAAAACAGCATCATAATAGAGCACCTTAACTCTACCCTATGGGAAACACCCGCACAAACCCGAGCCTTTTTTGAAGTCGGGGTGCGTTGCGTTGGACAAAAAAATCATGCTAATAAAAGTAATATTTAATGCAGTCAAACGTTCACTGATATAAAATTTCTATTGAACAAGCTTTCGGCTGTCTTTCTACAGCCTTCGACGGGTTATAAAAGAAATAATGAATGGGAGGTAACACTATATAAATACGTAAATACAAAAGCGGAAATAAAGTAATATGACACAATGTTTTATGTGATAGGTATAGTTACTGTTTTTGTTCAATAAAAATTTTATTTCAGTGAACGTTTGACTGCATTATGTATAATCCTGATATCGGATCACGCATTTTTTTAAGCGTAATATTACGCATTTTGTAGCTTTGATGCATTTCATTGATAAAATAAACTAATGTGTGGAAATTGGGGAGGCAGATAATGTCCAATGCAACCTGTGGCATCTCAGACTACATGGATATTAATCATAAAGAGAGAAAACAAGCCAGGAAAAAATCGAAGTTCATAAAATACTTTGTCGCGAGCTTATTACAAAATCTTGCTGACGTGTAAGACAAGCCACACTTAAAAACGATTGTAAACCAAATGTAAAACATCATATTCATTATTCTATATAAAATGGATTGCTAAGATAGTTTTGTTTGTATATCTTATTTCATATTTTTTGTGAAGCTCGAACATAATCAAAATTAAGTATCAAAGATATATGCTTTATATAAACTCTTAAATCGAAATGAAATCTTGAACTCTTTAACTGAAAATAAAATGGACAGACAACATGTTTATTCTTTAAAATGGATTCACTTTCACAATAATCAACACTAGTGGATACGTGACGCTCTTTTGACGTCAATATGAAATCGAATTATGGTTATGACGTCAAGATTTGCAGCTATGCTTTTTGGTCGCGACCTTAATTCGATTTTGTATTGACATCAAAGACTCGCGTCTTTTTGGTCGCCAGATGTGTTTTTATTATTTTATGACAAAGATATTTAGTTACATGTATTGCTGCCGCAGCGAGCGAGCTTAAAACATACAACTACCAAAATATTAGATTTTGCATTTTGGGTAAAAGTGTGGACCCAACAAGCCGTGCGCTAGGACTCAACATGTAATGCGCTTTTCACATAAAACAGACGCGACATATGTTCGAGCTCATTCAATTATTTTCCCCTGGTGGATATGTGTTTGTGTGATGTCAATAATAATATAGGGGATGTAAGACTTATCAGTATAAAATAGTATATGGGAAGTTAAATAACAACAACAAGGGAAGTATCTTTCGCTTGCTGTAAGTAAAACATTACTAAAGACGTAGCAGGATGGTAAAACCAGAACTATTTACGTCAAACTACACACATGCCTTTGTACATTTCCGCTCATTTTATGATGTATTACGTTTGTCTGAAATTATCTCAAAATTAATACGTTTGACATAAGTTTGAAGTCGCTTAGCAAAGAATGTGGTAAGCTTGTGTTAAATGAAAGTGACATAAGTGACACTTTCGTCAAAATGTCATCAATGAATATGAACAGCTTTGTTCTCGTGCCAGTTGACAATAACTCAACAATTCAGGTGCTCTTTGTTGAATCTAAACCTCTGATTTCTCTGCATAAAATAAAACAATCGAAAATGCTATCACAACACATACCAATAATACTATGGTTAATAAGGCAAAGTTATGATAGCTTTTGCAGACAGAAAATCTGTTAGATAAGTCCAGTCATTAAAAAGCTTCCAACACAACGCGTTTTTCATTCGACTTTCACCAAAAAATAAAATTCAAGCGTATTTTATTAGTTTTAAGACATTGTTTTATAACAAAAATCTACCAAATTCTGATGTTTAATTTTAGCTTTGATTCTGCAATTTGATAACTAATATTTCAATTTCGTTGCGGTAATGTACGTGTTGGGTTTCTCCGTGATTTACATTTTTGTTTCTATAATTTCGTAGAAGCACTATTGCTAATGCGCATTTAATATACACGACAAGTTTTTTTAAAATAGACATGTTTCAACATCTCATGATGCCATCTTCAGTATAAGTGAAATAATAAATTGACATTTGGTAGTGGAAAGCAGAGAAACTTTGGATAAACGCCGAGTGAAAGACAATCTTTGAGAAACATAAAATCTAGTTCTGCTTGACTTGTTTTGGTTTGATTTTTGTTTCTAATGTAGCTGTGTGTCATTTTCATTGTGGTTGACAGACGGCCTTGACTTTGAGTGTTGGAGCAGCCAGTTAGTCGTCGTGGAATGTATCTAACTGTCGCGGGTAAAAAGTCGCGTGTCGCGGGTTTAAAAAATACTTTTTTGCAAGGTAAAGTTTGAAAGACGTCGATGTTAAATTCTTAGGAACTCTTTATTTCTATGTATTGTTACTTGAATGTGCTCTATAAATCAACGTTCTCTGCTGTCAACATTAAAATATGTCACTGGTTTTTGGATATTTAAGATTCGTGTTTGTTATACCTATCAAATATACAAAACGATGCGTTGTTAATAAGAGGAATTATTATTAGTTTTAAGGCCGTTAAAGTTCTCATACAATTGAAATTGTAAACACCCAGCTCATAAATTGTAAGATATGGTTTATTTATTTGTATAACTTGCACTTTCTCACGATTATAAATTTGCTTTTTTCTCGCAACTAAGAGCTTCATTACCATTAAAAGAGCTGTATTCAATTTAAGATTTAAGAAATTTAAGAAATCTCACTCATGTAAAACCAACTATTTACCCTCTTGCTTCAAAATCATTGACACTGCCGACACCTCATTCTCCCTAAAAATCAAAGAAGCACTCCACATGAACAAAACTGACCCTGACCTCAATGTTCAAGTTTTTAAATTCAATACAATCTTTAGTCTATAATACACTCGGACGCTCCCCATTAATTTATCTTATTTCCTTATTATTGTTGTAATTTATGTATCATATTATTTTTATATAAACCTTGTATTATATATTATTTCACTTATAATGAAGATGGCATCACGAGATGTCGAAACATGTCTATTTCAAAAAAACTCGTCGTTTATATTAAATGCGCATTAAAAATACAACTCCTGTGTTTTTGCAGATTTTAAACCAAGTTATTCTCATCTACTTCACACTCACACAGGCAGCAATTACTACCTTATAGGTATTCTAGTTTTATGATATAATGTATCTAAAATATCGTCAATGGAGCGTAATTATATGATTTTATTGGATTTTATCAAACAATACAAACATTAAAAGCACTTGTGGTCTTGCACTGCTTTTTTCCTTAATTTTTTAACATTTCTGACATTAATTGTGTGAGCGGTCTTGCTATTTATATTTGATATAATCCAATAAAATCACGTTGCGAAAATTTTGTTATTTGATATAATTACGTTCTATCGACTGACGAGACTTTGGTTGTATTAAATAATAAAATAAATAATGCGAGATATCCTTGTCAGTAAGTTAAGTAATAAAAGCATATTCGACGCCCATACGTCGTGTTTGTAAAAAATGTTTATAATGATGCCTATAAATTTAATGTTTTGTTTGATGAAAGATTCGATGTACTGAAAAATAATATGAACTCAGACTTAAAAAAAAAACACAACAAAAAACAAAAACAATCTTAAATCTACGAGCAAACGCACTCAACATCTTCCTTAACATGCACTCAGCATGGCAGACTCAACATCTTGAGAGCATTCTTACACCCTGTTTAGTCGTGTTGAGCTTTGTTCAAAGCAGTTTGTACTTGTTTAAACGCACTTAACATTTTCTTTATTCGCGCTCACCAATGCGTACTTTATTTGCTTAATTTAGCTCACTCAACAATGTTGAGCTAACGCATGCACACTGTACAACGTATAATATTGTGAAAATGGCTTCGTTGCAAGACATCGCTCAGCAAGCGCAAGACAATGTTGAGCGCATTTGAACGTTGACCACTGTTTGCGTCACTTTCACACTTAACCTTGGCAATCAAAGGAATTTTCTTCCGTGTAATCATCTTATTAATTTACACACCATAGACATCTGCCAACAATAAGTAATTATGTTGAAAATGTCACATGAGTGATGGAATACATAAAAGAGACATGTATCACAATTTGCTCTGCTATCACATCTATCTGTACAGGAAACGAGTTCTTGGAGAAAATGTATTTGACAGGTCTTTTGCTAGTGTGCATCATATTAGTGATCCCAAGGTAAGAATTATTACAATGCTAGTTGTCACCTTAGTCTTCAACAATTTTTGATACAAGCGACAAAAAATTTTCTTTGTTCTGGCTGAAATATGATTATAGGTATCTATAAGTCTTGAAGCAAATTGCTTTTGTGTTTCCAATACAGCGCATGCTCAATAAATTTCTTATCAAACCAAAATAGCGGCCCCCACTGAACAACATGATTCAGTCGAAGAGGGTGTAGATAAAAAGCGGGCGCAGACGACGGACGCGGACGGCGGACGCAGATGTAAGACGAACGTCTGTTTGTTGTGGGCGGGAATTGCAAATGATTTATTGTAGGAGTTTGACAGTAATTTAAACGAGCTTTAACTTTCAGGATATATTTTTTGACCTCATTATTTAAAGCAATTAAACATGCATATTTCAATTTCAGTCAGTCATATAGAGTGTAACGCAATGAAACCTCATTGTATTTTTTCGTGTTTTGTCAATGGCATTTCACTCATGTTGGCCTTACGTGGGTGAGCCTGTTCATATTTACTGCACTATAATGATTTCCGTCAACTTGTCATTTGGCAAGCAGTACGTATATTACAGTTTTCAACTTTAACTTCCTTTTGAAAGCTGAGGTTAGAAGCAGTTGCAAGTTAGTCAGTGCGTCAGTTACAGTCATGTTTGCTGTAGCTATATGACAACTTTTGATGAATATTAGCCAAACGCATTCAAAAAGCGTTATGATATTTTCCGTCGTAATTTCCGTATAACTTAGAGTCAAATTTAAAATTCTGTTTCACTGCATTCTTTCAGTCATAGCAATAGAAATATCGTCGCTAGGTTAGTTTTCCGTTAATATTTCTAAAGACCTATATACAAGTTCTTTGTTTATTTGCTTGAATCTTTCTTTTTGCAATGCGTGAGAAACTATGACGCTAGTGATTCATCTATAAAAGAAGGATTGAGTCATGTTTTTCAATATAACTACCGTTCGTATCTAAGGATGCAAGTAATTATTTCTATCACATAGAATTACCTCAGTGACTTAAAGTTAAAACGAATTGTGTTAAAGAAATATGGACCAGCAGAGAAGTGGGACCTCAACAAATATTCTTATCTTATCTTTAAAAAGGAAATTACCTGTAGGACAAAATTTGCATAAGTGCATGCAAAGCTTTTGCTTACTTATGGTTTCAATTAATGCATATTTTCTTTATCGTATGATTTGAGTAATATAAGATTGACTTTTTTTAAAATTGGAAAAGCAAGGCTCACCCACGTAGGGCAAACATTGAGTGAAATGCCATTGACAAAACACGAAAAAAATACAATGAGGTTTCATTGCGTTACACTCTATATGACTGACTGAAATTGAAATATGCATGTTTAATTGCTTTAAATAATGAGGTCAAAAAATATATCCTGAAAGTTAAAGCTCGTTTAAATTACTGTCAAACTCCTACAATAAATCATTTGCAATTCCCGCCCACAACAAACAGACGTTCGTCTTACATCTGCGTCCGTCGTCTGCGTCCGCCGTCCGCGTCCGTCGTCTGCGTCCGCCGTCCGCGTCCGTCGTCGTCCGCCGTCCGCGCCGCCGTCCGCGCCCGCCGTCCGCGCCCGCTTTTTATCTACACCCCAGTCGAAGAAGCAATTTCAGATGATAAACTTTAGATGATAAACTAATTGATCTCTGGCCTTCGATCAGCAGATTTAAACGGAGACAAAAGAGAGTCTGCTTTTGAGGAAATAAAAAATCGCACATGTTTTACAACAAGAAGCTCGTAAATGTCTGTGTTTTCGGAGAATTAGCAACAGGCATACAACTGCTACTTCGTCTTCTCCAGAACCATAAATTGAAGTTGACACAGACTATAACTCATTCAGTCGAACAAGCCGCTATTTTTGGTTTGATATGAAATTTATTGAGCATGCGCTGTATTGGAAACACAAAAGCAATTTGCTTCAAGACGCCGCACACGGACAAATCGACAAAGCATTTCGCCACGCGTGGCGAAAAATATCAAACACGTTAGATATTTGCCAGCCTGCCTGGAATGGCAAAAGTCGTCGGAAACAGCACGCGCACACGAGAGCAACTTGCTTACGCCACTTGGCACGGATGACATTTTGCTGAGCACGTAGCTCTCGTGTGCGGCGGGCTTAGATGCAAACTTTGAGTTTAATTAAACCAAAATCGCTATTTAAAGATTTGGGTTATCCTCTCAACATCCGCAATAAATTTATTAAAACTTTTTAATCCAACAAATTCTTTATTTTTGGGAAAAGTTTTGGTCGGGCTGAGCCCGACCAGTGTGACCTCAAGATACGCCAATGACCGTAACAAATCAATGTCATCTCTTTAATCTCCATATTAAAGCTGGATTTCCACTTCCCGGTAAGGACGGTAACGGTAAACGGTTCACATGAAGGAAATTTTCCGTTTATTAATTTCCTCTTGTTTTGGCGGACATTTTAAAACAGATGCGCATCATCATGGCTAAACTTAGAACAAAAACATTAATGATGCTGTTGCTATTGAAAAGAAGAATGCAACTGCGAAAAAATACAAAAAGAGAATGTGGGTTCGAAGAATATTTCAGGAAAGAAAGCAAAAAGGAGAGTTTCACCTTCTTGTAGAAGAGATGAGACTTTTTGATAGGGAATACTACTTCAAATACTTCAGGTTGTCCGTATCCCAGTTCGAAGAACTTTTGCAGCTTGTTGCTCCTAAAATCGCCAAGTGCAATGAAAAAAGAGAACCAATATCTCCGAGTGAGCGGCTCTCAGTTACTCTAAGATACTTGGTCACTGGAAACTCTCACGCTTCGCTGTCAAGCAATTTCCGTATACATCCTACAACTATCAGCCGTGTTATAAGAGAGACCACGGCAGCTATTTGGGATGTTCTTTCACCCATTTAAGTGTCCCGAAAGTGAAGTCGAATGGAAGAACATTGCGAAAGATTTTAATCGCAAATGGAATTTTCCACATTGCTTGGGGGCAATTGATGGCAAGCATATAGTCATGCAAGCTCCAGCAAGATCAGGGTCGAGTTTCTTTAATTATAAAAAAACTCACTCAATTGTTCTTTTAGCAGTGTGCGATGCACAATACCGGTTCACCCTCGTAGATATCGGAGACTCGGGCAGAAATAGTGATGGAGGCGTTTTTCTAGTAGTAATCTAGGATATGCAATAGAACATGATCTTTGCATCTACCCAGAAATGAGAAGATACCTGGATCAGAAAACAAATTTCCTTATGTTTTGTTGGGGACGAGGCATTCCGTTTGTCTGAGCAACTGATGAAACCCTACCCGCGCGAGGTACTCTCTATGAAAGAGAGGATTTATAACTATCGTTTGTCTAGAGCTAGGAGGGTCATTGAAAACTCATTTGGCATAGCTGCTGCACGTTTCCGAATTTGGCGACGCCCCATTATTGGTAAAGTTGACTTGGTCGTTTGTACAACAAAAGCAGTTGTGGCATTGCATAATTACTTGATGCATGGCAAATCTTTTGAGGCAAGTAGGTACTGTCCTCCAGGTTTTGCAGATACCGAAAACAGCTATGGATTTAAAAAAGGAGCCTGGCGCAACGAAGTAGAAGCATTTCATAGCACAGCTGGGTTGGCTGACATTCAACAACTTGGTTCTAATAATTACAGTAAAATAGCCAAGAGAATACGAGAAAATTTTTGTGATTATTTCATGTCTGAGGCAGGGCAAGTACCATGGCAATTGAAGCATGTCACAGCAACACATGAATAATACAAGTTATCTTTAACTGGGTTTGACAATTGTTGGAGCATTCATTAATGAAACATGTACATATGAGTAAAGTAGAACATATATAATGTGTAGAAAGTTTGTAATTTCTTAAGTTTTAAGTATGCTAGTTTTCTAATAAACTTGTATAAAAATACCCACATATAACCAGAATTTTAATGCTCTAATCGTGATAAGGCCTTCAGAAAAAGCAACTGTAATTATAAATGACAAAACAACAAGCATCAGTTGAAAACCAATTTACCTTCAACAAAACACACTAGAATTAAATAAAACAAGAACTTAAACATCAAAATGGTATTCATAGTTCCAGTTAATGCAGTTATATAGCATGCAGTTAATCATTCATCATCAATGTCAAAGCTCATTAATACCTCTAAAAGTTTGATTCTAGCTCTCTTGTTCTTCTTAGATGAGAGTTGTTTTAAAGGTGCCACCAGACTTTTACAAAAAAGTAAATCAGAATCATTTGTGTCTTCACCAGATTTATTAATGTCTTTGACTATTGCTGCAGTAAGAGCTGCATTAAAAGGGTCATCATCTTCTTTTCGTTTTCGAGTTTTCGTTGAGGCTGCTATGATTTCTGAGGATGGTTTGGGCTTGGGTGATGGATTTCTCATTCCAGGTGCAGCAATTGCTATTTCATTGGAACTGCCTGAGGATACTTGAGTTAAATCAAATGGTGACGATGATCGACTATCTGATAGTCTGGGTACATTCACATTGCTTGTTGATTTTCTATTAGAAACACTATCTCTAAGGAAACTCAATTCAACAAAGAAGGCACATGTGGGTAACTTTTTTGCTTCTGCTCCAGATCGTGATTCCAATTCTCTCTTTTCAGACACTTTCGAAATTTTCTCTTAACCTTTTGAACTCATTTTCTGCTTCAATTGCTGAAAACATATGGGTAAAATAACTAATTGTTGTCAACAGCATACCAAGTCACAAATTTAAAAGAAAGCACAACACAACATGTGGTGTGCAATACTAATATTTTTATACACATCTGGTTTAATAGCAAAAAATAAAAGCATCTGCAAATGAGTTTATGAACAAAATATCAATATCATCTGAAGTTTTGCTATGGACTTTACATAACTAGGACAAAACTAACAATATGGTTTTTTAGATGTAATGCTAGGTATGCAAACACACAGGTATAAACACATGAAATGGCATGTAACAAAGTAAAACATGAGATTTTTCATTTCTGGTTACCACAATAAACATGATAAGCTTCCTGCTTGTCATTTGTCAAAGGATGCTTTGTCATTGATGCATATTTAGAGACTGTACCTTGCACATGGAGTTGCTCTGAAATTTTTAACCATGCTTGTTTCTTCATAACACTGTTCTTGAACCCTTTGGACTTCAAATCCCATAGGCAAGGATAATTCCTCACTTCATCAATCAAATTACTACTGAAGTGATTCTGACTTTGTAAAGAGTACTAGCTCTCTTCGTTATGTCCAAAATTGTCTATCGTATTATCACTGGTTTGGCTAAGCAGTTGCTGCTCCTTGGAAACATCTTCAGTCGCCGTCGTCTTCTGCATTATATCTTGATCCAATATATACGTGGATTCTTCAGATCCAGTAAATATTTGGCTACCATAATAATTGACGTGCGGATTGCTTCTCTGAAAACTTAATAATTTTGTGAGCATCAATTCAGTATTATCATCCATCTTGCTACTACCCAGGAGTCAATTTTTGTGGTATAATTTGATTGGCTAAAAAGTGAAACGGTATGAATTCCGCGGAAAAAAGTTGACTTGACTTCAACTTTTAAAATTGGAAAGCAGTACGGTGTGCATACCGTTTTGCGGTGCTACATTTTCTACTGCGCATGCCTGTACCGTTTGGCGTTTACCGTTTTCCGTCCTTACCGGGAAGTGGAAATCCAGCTTAACACTGGAATGGATTTATGGATAAATATGTATTATTCAGTAGAAAATTTGCTGCTTTTGAGTGTTGCAAAATAAGGATTGCAATGATGGGTTTTACAAATGCTTCGATTAAGAATTTAAATTTCGCATGAAATTATTCAATTATTTTTGACTGACAAGACTGGAGAAACACACAGTGATTAATTAACATATATAGTTTCTTGTTCCACAGATACACGAAATTTATGCCTTAAAAATATAACCTTAATTACATTAAAGGACTAAGCTGCGCTTGATTAGAGAATAGGTATCAATTTAGTGCTCAGTAGAAGTTAGAACATAAACACTATGAAATCATTTGTGATTATGGTTTTAAAGGAGTACCCATGGCATCTGTTGTGATGAAATCGAGAAGACTGTTAAGAGCAAGATAAACGCACATAAAATACTTTGTAAAACAGGACGAATTGTTTCCTTGAATTGTTGCAATGAAATTAAGAAAAAGATTAAATCATTTGAGGACGCGTATGAGTCTTTATGCCTGGATGAAAATGAAGGTACACATTTATAATTAGCTACAAGTAAAAGTACTATTTGAGGACAGACGGTTTTCTCCATGTAATTTCTCATAACCACAATATTTGGCACGTGTTTTCACAATTTTCGTGGTGAACAACAGTTATTTCTTGAATATATTAGCAGTATGAAATACCTTCAAAATACATTGTAGTTTCTTTGTGTTTTCGTAAAATTAATTGTAAATATCGATACTGCAAAGATTTTTGATAAACGTTGAATCCATTGTTACACGCTTTTGTTTTTGTTAGGCATATAAGCTAAATAAACATTTTTCACTAGCAAAAACGTGCGCAGATCACTACAAGACTGGACACAATCAAAGTGGAATATATACCATCAATCCAGATGGTCAGGGAAGTTTTAGTGTATTTTGTGACATGACGACACCTGGTGGTGGTTGGACTGTGTTTCAACGTCGCATTGATGGGAGTGTGAATTTTTACAGAGGATGGCAGGATTATAAAAATGGTTTTGGCAATCTAAGCTCCGAATTTTGGCTTGGATTAGATAAAATACACAGACTGACCAATGTGACAAACAATAAACTTCGCATTAATTTAGAAGATACTTCAGGAAACAAGAGATATGCTGAATACGATCATTTCTCTGTTAAAAATGAAAAGCAGAAATATGAATTGAAAATTGGAAAATATTCAGGTACAATGAATAAAAAATATTTTTTTCAAATCGAAAAGATCTTAACACATCTTATACATTTTGATACACTTTTAAGCCAAACTCGAGGTTTGATTGAAACTAATTTACTTAAATTGTCGAAATTTCATTGAATATTTTATCAATAATTCTAATTCTAATTATATTTATAATATTTATAATTCTTGTATAATTCTAAAAATTATTGGATGAGTTTGAGCATGATATTCTCGATAACTCGTGCGAAAACAGTTTGTAAAACGCTTGCAAATCTCGAGCAAGTTTCCGCTATTAACTTTTTTGTTCACTATTTTCACATGAACAATTACGTCACCTACAAGTAATTTTCAATATTTTCTAAGGGGTTGCACAACATTGTATAATGAGTTTGATTATTCGTTATGTTTTTGGTTGCATACGCTCACCAGACACCATGCTCACATATTTAATCAATGAACAAAATATTGTGATGAAATTTATTTCATGATGGAAAATTGTTTCGAGGTATATTTTGTGTAGTGTACCATATCTGGATAAACTATATATTCTTAATCTGCCACGTGCAATGTAACAGATTTCACAACTTGTAAAACGAACAAAACGAAAGAAACATTCATAAACATACATTTATAGGGACTGCTAAAGATTCCCTTGGTCTCCATAATGGAATGAAGTTCACGACAAAAGACTCGGATAACGATAAAAGTAGTGGGAATTGTGCAGCTTCATACAAGGGAGCATGGTGGTATGAAAATTGTCATCACTCTAATTTAAATGGGCTCTACAAACTTGGAAAACATTCTTCATACGCTGATGGCGTTAATTGGTTCCATTGGAAAGGCTATTATTATTCTCTGAAATCCACCACAATGGAAATCGGACTAGTTTAATTTTCAATGTAGAATTATACAAAGCGCGTATTATTAATTGTTAGTTAAACATATATATAAACATGGTTCTTAAATGATATATTAAACGAAGTAGAATCCACTTTACGAAATGACTCGGACTCGTAAAGGAAATTTTATATGAAATGCAAATAAAAATGAATTTGAAAAGTTTGGTTTGATGTTTTAATTCTCCTATAAGTTCCCAGGTATATCTTCGCTTAGAACTGCTGTATTAGAGAGTAATTGGATTATTGACAACCTTTTTAGTCCTCGTCCAAAGTACACATTTCATGGGGTTGATTTTGTTCATCTGTAAATAAAGACTCTTGTTTAAAATAAATTGTTATTACTAAATGAGGTGAATATGTAGTAAACGAATTCATATTAACGATTAAGTTATCTGTCGGGAGATGTTCTGCACGGTTTTCATTGATGGGCAATGGAAAAAATCCTGGTTGATTACCGGGATATATGTTTATCAAAGCCCGACTGAACGGACGTTTCGTGTAACTATATTCTCATGACATTAGTATTTTTCTTATTGTCGTTGTTCGCATCGCACTAATGATTGTTCCGAAGATTGTTCAATCCGCGCTATTGTTAATTCTATTTTGTCATTGGACTACGTCACTAAGGAGTCATATGAGAATGAGCACGCAGATCGAGAAACAAGTTTCCCGCGTAATTTTCGGGGGAACGGTTGTTATTAAGGGAGAATCGTTAAAAAAATCAAATAAACTTACAATAAATGAGGGCAAAATGACATCGGGTGACAAATTGGAAGAGCGACTATTGGAATACGAGTCAAGCGGTATGAAGGAAGCGACACCGGGGACATCGATGCCTGAAGTGCTGGCTAGTTTGGTCAACAAATTGGAGAACATGTCGAACAAAATACTCAACATGGACAGTTCCATTGAAAGATTGCTGTCCGAGAGTGAGGATTTTAGCTTTGACAATAGGACCAAGCAAGAAACAACGGTTGACAACATCATTGGAAATACAAAACAGTTATGATGTCGGCAATACAGAGGGATTGCATCCACTAAATCAGCCTTATGCCGACTAGATCAGGGGCGGATCTAGGATTTTTCAAACATCAGTCATAAAACGTCGGAGGCACTCCGCGCCGGGGGGGGTCTGAGGCATTCTCCCCTGAGAAATTTTGAATTTCAGAACCTCTAAAATGCCATTTTCAGCGTTTTAGAGCAATACAAGATGTATTTTGTGGGCATCGTTTTTCGGTAAAAACAACACATTTTGCTTACGTTTTTTTCCAAAAAAAAAATGAAGTGAACAATACTTGAATGTTTTGCCAAATAATTAGGCTCATTATCATGCCAAATATATGGCTCATTAGCATGTCTAGGAACGTAAAATTTATTTTACAATAATGCTATTCAAAAACAGATATAGTCTTTAAAAATTTCTACCAAGTTGTCAGGCATAGACCCCCCTAGAGACCCCCATTCAAACCTCTATGCAATAAGTTAAGTTAGAAATTTGGTACTACAAGTGACAGTTCATAAATATAGAAAAGCTCAGACTTCAAACCATGCAAGTTTATTGTAACCCTTTACCCATCTCCACATCTGAGCCAGCAAATTCACTTTTTGAGAAAAAACTCAATATTTTTTTCTGTCAAAGATTAAGAAAATTATCAAAGTGAAAAATTGCAGTTAAGGACAGCTTAATGCCATGAATGTTTCTTAGGCATTTAACTAGACTATTATCTTCTGTAAGTATATGCAAGGTGTGCTATATAGCAATCACTAGTAGCATTGTATTTGCAAATACAAACAGAATGTAACCAACATGTCTTTAATTATATAATTACATGAATGTTAAAATTGGTTCATGTGTCATGCTTACTGGTTATGATAAATATCTTTTCATATGATCAAAGCTCGTTTAAATGTAAATCTGAAATAATTTAGTTTAGAAATTATACTGATCATCAGAAAAATTACCTAGTGATCATGAAAAATACTTTGCTGTTTTGCCAAATTTCAAGGTTTATCTGCATACATTGGAAGACATTTTTACTTTATAGAAAATGCTATTCATACATCAATAGCCCTTTGGAATTTATGGCAAACAATCTGGTATGAGCCGTAGATTAACACACCTTTACATCTCTACATGAGGTGTTCAGTTAGAAAAGGGGACAATATGTGACATGGGACAACATTTCATGAATGTGAAATACTCAGGTTTAATACCATTCCAGTCAAATTGTCAAAATAAAAAGCTTCATGGATCATAAGACTCAAAATCACAGGTTATAGTAAACAGCTTCTCATGTAATCAATGTTAGTTTTCTCAAATCTTAAACAATATGTAGTATAACTGTCCAATGATTGAAAGATCAATGATCATAAACTGAAAAGCCCCAAACATTTGTTTATGATAAAGTAAATAATAGTATGGCACCTTATGGCTACAGATTTTTTGTCCATTGAAATATACTTGCAGAAATGTAGGATTTCGCTGCCATATAACGGCCACGATTCCCCAAGCATTATAGAAATCATAGCTAAAAGTCCTTCGGCAACAACAATTTTAGAAGCATCAATCTGCTTACCATACGCCATATTAACATAAATCGCATCACACACTCGCATAAATTAACTTTGATATATTGCATTCATGCATACACTTCACTTGTCCTTTACTTACGATTTTGGATGTAAATTTCTGCTGATAAAACTCAAAACAATGTTGGCTTGCTTTTGAACATCAATGACTGAAATGTCGCTCGCGAGATCGTCTTTGCCAAGCATTTACAATTTATCCATAAATTTTTCACCCTCTTGAAAAAATTCCCAGTTTGGAAAGCAGCATTCATGTCAACATATGGATTTGTAAAAGATTTCCCTAAATTCCATCTGATTGTAGTTTAGTTTCTATCATGCTTCAGAAAATTACTATGAACGATCAAACATTCAATTCAGACAGTGAGCTTGACTATGTTAGTTCAGTTGGCTATCAGTCGAAATCGGTCAAACCAATCACAGTAAGACAAAAATTCAAATGAACCAATTGTAAGATAGCAATTGGACTCCCTTATAGGTCCGGCCACCCCGCTTATCGGTCGAGATTATTCCAGACTGTCCACTGATCTGGCCATTGACCAATAAAATAGCGTTTCTGGCTTCATAGACTCCTTTATAAGTCGAACCAGTCAAGCCACCCCGCTTATCAGTCGGTTATTCCAGGTCAATTAAAATTAAACTGATCTGGTTACCAAGGAGATATTCGTTGCATTAGTCATTAGTTTTCAATAATAAATAAAGCTGGATTTTTATCACGAAGTAAATGCGATAATAAAGTAAGAATAATTAGTGATTTTTTAATTAATATGAATAGGTAATTGTTGAATTTCAAACATCAGTCGCGCGACGGATTTGACATACTCTAGATCCGCCCCTGGACTAGATCACATGTGTTCGACGCAAACACGACGCTCTGCTCCAAGAAATTTCAACTTATCATTTTGTAGTTAGATTCTGCTTGGTCAATAAAATCTTCCAATTGTCTTCATAGTTATTAATGAATTAGTGTTAGTACTGCACCATTTTACAGAAGCATTTTGCCCCCTCATCTTCTGTTCAAGTTGTTAGCAAATCGATGAGAACAAACTCTGCTCCACTTCATGCGTACTCTTTGGATCGAATGTTTCTTTATAGTATTTCCCCTCTGCATAAAAAAAGCCGGATGTTTTTTGCGTCAGGGAAACTATTTTGCAAATAGATTGGTGAATTTGTGGTTACATACATTAACAAATAAGTGGAATAGTACGTTTAGTTTTAAAAACAAAAACAAGAAAACATCAGTAGGATTTTATGCATGGTTTTTATAGTTCAATCGCTTCTCAAGTTTTTGATGAACAAACAAAAGAAATATCTTACCTGTGAAAGCGATGTGTTCCTTTTTGTGAACACTACGACATCTAAAAATCAAATTATTGAAGTTTTGAAATACGATAAAAGAAATGCTAAAAAAGATATCGCGTTTGTTTTCGAAAATACCATATGATAAACTATAAACATCAGGGGAGGTCGACAATATTATTTTTCTGCAAAGCGAGCATTTCAGCGGAAATAGGTCAATTGGCATCATAGATATAGTAGACATAGATTGCTGACGCACAGTTATATTACAGTTAACTAGGTGACATCATACAGAGTAATACAGGATAGCATCGTAACCGGTCTAAAACATCAGGAATTGTATTATGAACTCCTCAGATGGAATATTCCTAAAAATATTCAATTCTGAAGTTTACCGTGAAACATGGCAATTGGTAACACGGCCTGTTTGGATAATTTCTGTCCACGTACAGTCGATAATATTGTGAAAAATTCTTAACCGAGATAATTTTGGACTACGAAAACCAATGGTCATTTCTTTTTTAAGAGATCATCTCTGAAAACGGTAATTTTTACGAGCTCTTATTGTTCTAGTGAAATTTATCATAAGCTATCCTCTGAAAACAAACCATGGAGAATTGATGGAAAATATCAGATCGTATCATGCAGGTTCTTTATAAATTAGAATTGCTGCACGTTGATTGCGATAGTTCTTGTTTTGAACAATGTGGTTTCTAAGTCCATTAATATATTATGGTGGAATATTGGCGAGTGTCAGTGAAGGTCTTTTATCACCAATTCTGTCTGTTTACGACTGCAACTATAAAAGAAAAATGCAAAAGGTTTTGCTGTATTGACAATTTTGGCCTTTAGAAATTTTCAAATAATTTATAATAAATCCCTTGTCATATTACCATTAGAAAGATTGACTTTTCAGTATTGTTTCTAATGATTTTTAGTAAAAACATTTATCTTTTTTTCTTATTCTTCCTTAGAAAATTAGCATTACCGGATTGACTTTTGTAGGGGGTAATACAATAAGAATTCTAATGTCCAAGGACAAGTTGCATTTCAATTTGTTGAACTTTCAACTATTTCTCTGAAACATCCATCTTAACTTGGTGCATTTTGCTTAGCTGAGGTATGACTAGGTTTAGGGAATAGAGAAAGCAATAGTTCTGAAACAAATTATCTATGTGACCTCTGGGTTTATAAATATTTAGCCTTTGGTAAAACTATTGCAATTGTTTGAGAGGTTCTCTTACTAAATAATAAGTAATTGACATGGGTTCTTCGTAGAAATAATGAAGAAAAGGTAACACATTTTTCAAATTTGTTGATAAATAGAAACAGAAGAACAATAATTATCTTTAATACTCAATATTAGTGTTTTTGAAATCCAAGTGATTTTGTCAACTTTTGTTAGAGTACATGCGACGATTACATGCCCTGGATTTGTTTTCTTTATTGAAATATACGTTCTCGTAGTCCTAAAGTATCTCTGTTAAGATATTTTCAGAATTTAAATGACTGTACGTGGACACAAATTACATAAACAGGTCAAGTGACCAGTTGACATATTTCACGATAAACTTCAGAATTAAATATTTTCATGAATATTACATCTAAGAAGGTCATTATTTGCTCAAAAGATGCGCAATGGATGTTTGTCTCAAAATAGGTCGATTGCAGGAGAAAATTTCTAAACAATTGGCGTAATGTTTGAAAACCATGAAAATCATAATATAATTCGGTCAATTCCTAGTGTTTTTTACCGGTTACGACGCCATCTTGGATTACTCTATATGGTGCCATTCTCATAGAGTGCGTCAGCAAGCTATGTCTACTATATATATGATGGGCGTCCATGTTTTTGGCGTCAGTTCCCAGTCCACTTAGCTTCTCCAGTTATTATATAACTCAATGGCTAACACTCATGTCTCTCTTATGTCAAGGCATGAAGACAAAAAAGTTGACTGGAGTTAGGATATCAGTATGTTGCTTGCTTACGTCATTTGATTCCACCAAGTGTCTTAAAATAATTTTCAACGTGCATAGAAACTGGTTATTAAATAAATAACCTACTTTTAACGTTTACATAAAGTAGTTATTAATGAAATAACTAAAATAAATTCTTCGTTTTAATTGGCTTAGAGACTTTTTAGCGGTTCATTGCTTTCCTGTTTAGGAGGACCGTCGGATTGTGAGCTAAATTTTTTACAAAAACAGTAAATAATTGTTCAGGAGGAATATTAGCTAAAATGTAAGTAAAATGTATAGAAAAAATACAGGGAAAATGAGTTGTAGCTACTATTCAGAAAACATAATTCAGAGTATTAATCTTTTACTGACGCATTCTAGAGAAGTGAAAGTTGACTTATCAAAATCTCTACTAGAGTAGGTGAAAAAAAACTTGACATGTTTCATGTAGTAAAAGTTGGTAGCGCGCAGTTTTGAAGTACTTTTATATGCTGAACACAAATGTCGAAGCTGATATTGTGATCCTCAGTGAGAAAATGCCGTCTTTAAATGGGATGTCAATAAAATAACGACAGCAGAGAGATCAAATTTTGACCCAATGATTATCACTCGCCGTTTTTCTTTCCTTTCCACCTAAAGTTGAAACATTATGGTGTGGTAGACTCTTTTTACGTTAGCAATAGCCCTTTATTTAATAATAGATATTATTAGTTATTATAACTTTACTAATTTAGATATTTGTAATTCAGCCGCAAGGCTGCAATTAATATTTTAATAAACTACTTACTTACTTACTTACTTACTAATCACTTTTCAATTTTCAATTTTGATTGCCACACATTCATGTTGGTTAAAAAGATTTACCAAATATTTATGGCCAATATATTGGTTAGAAATCAGGTGTATGATTCAATTTGCGTATTGTGCGGCACAGAACTCAGTATGACTAGTAAAACAAAGGATAGAATGAAGCGTTTAATCTTGAAATTCATAAATAATGCATATGATATAAACGTTTTGCTTGTGTTTAACAATGCGTTTTTGCTAGTTGATCTTTGTTTGCTTGTTTTTTAAGACAATTATGATTCTGAAATTAGCCAAGATAGCTAAGATTCCATAGAGAAATAGAAAAAAGGATAGGGCAAAATTAATAGGCTTTTTTTGTAGACAAAATAATTCTTACTGACAGTAAACAAAAGCAAATTATATATGTAAACCATTAGGTTATGATTGTACTTCACATATTTTATCTCATATAGTAAAGTCAGACATAAAAACACAAATCCTTGTCTTATTTATTATCAATATAAATCTCTTCACCCTTACTTACTGTCCTAGGTACTCTCATAAAGACATAAGGGTTGAAACTTTTATTCCATCACAAGTCAAAAAAGGTCAATCTATGCAAATTACTTTAACTTCGTCGAAAAAGCTTGTGGTTGCATCTGTCTTTGCAATATCTTTCAAAGTGCAAAATGAAGATTTAGAACAAGAAAAACGTTTGGTTCTTGCAGTCTGGTGGCTGCCGTTTGGGCGAGGAGGAGAGAAAAAAAGGTAAGCAATCATGTTGCATTGCGGACCACAAGCAATATGCAGTCTTTATTATATGTGAAATGCATCAAGTTGTATAAGGTCCTGGAGGACCATGGTAAAAGGGGTCTAAGGCCCCGTCCACACTAATCCGTATTCAAACGAAAACGGAGCTCTTTTGCTCCGTTTTTAGAAAAATTTTGCGTCCACACTAATCGTTTTCTTATCGTTTTTGCCCGTCCACACTACTACGCGTTATGTTTCAAAAACGCTGTTGTACCCAAAGTGCGCATGACCAAATAAACTTCGCGCATGAGCATTTCATTTTAACGAATCCGCAAAAGGCGAGAATAATTGGCGCCATTCTTAAATTCTCGTTGTTGTGGCTTAATTCTTCAATATCTACATTTTTAAGTATGCCAAGGACAGGTGAAAATCTGTCGAAATCTAAAAAGGGTTGTTTTACGTGGACTGATGATGAAGTCGAGCTACTTCTAAAAGTAACAAATGATTACAAAGGGCAGAAAAGCACCGAGAGTATAGACTGGAAGTCGGTGCAGTCGAAGTATGGCGATATCTTGGATATGTTTCAAGCAGAGTATCCTAACCAGGAAAATGCCACTGCTTTATTCAAAGAATATCCTCATAAACCAGAGGATATAACGAAAGCAACACTTTCAACCAAATTAAAAGCCATTCGGAAAAAATTTCGACAAGCTGTTGACTCGGGAAGGAAGAGTGGACATGGCCGCGTTGTCCTGCTGTATTTCGAGCTCTGTGAACAAATATGGGGCGGCTCTCCAGCTACAAACACGATTAGATCTGGCTTAGAAACAAGCACATTAATCGATGATGTTGATGTTAATGTTGATAGTGTTCCAAATACCCCTGCATCAATAGAGATAAATGATGATGAAAGTAGAAGCCCAGAAGGTGAAGACGAATCATATGATTCTACAACTTCGAGCAGCAGTACCATTCAGCATCGGCGTGAATTATTAAATTCAAAACTGAAGGGCTATAGACAGGAAAAGTTGAAGAGAAAACTTCCTGTAGATAGCCAGATGCTGAGTATTGCCCAGGAAGAACTTGAAATTAAAAAAAAATTGATCACAAGAATGGAAGAGATTGACCAAGAAAACTCAACTCAGATGAGAAGGATGATGACCAACATGGAAAAACTAACTGAGTCCATAGCAGATGGTTTTACTATGCTGAAGCAGGTAATGCTAAGCCCACCACAGCTGCTATATTCACCACAGCCACCACAACCACCCATGCAACCTCACTACCCTCCCCGCCAAACATTTACTGAGTTGACACCGCTTCAAGATTCTGGGGACAATGGACACTTCACTTTTACACAGTCTCTATATTCCAAAGATAGTCAACTTCCTTTTTTATGTGGCACCTTATTGGAGACCACTTTTCTCAAATCAGAAAATGGTGTTCCTTGCAAGCATTTTAAGATGCATGCACTGCAAAACAGTTTTTAGCATGAAGCACCATTGGCTATGAAACTGGCATATCACTTATCAGCTTGTGAAGTGCTATGTTTTCTGCCTTAACTACAATTCTTAATTGTTTACTGCTTGGGTCCTGCATTTAATAAATGCCAAGAAAACTACCAGATAAACATATCCAGAAAAATTATCTAAAGTGAGGAGAGTGTTGAACACAAATTTCTAATAATCATATATATTGTAGGTTCCTATGTAATAGTAATATAATCATGGATCAAAATATTTAGTTAAAACTCTCCTGACTCTTTTTCCTTCTGCCTCATTGCTGTCTGTTATAAAATTATTTGTATTTGATAATGGCTGGAAATGTTTATCAAAAGCAATGGATGCCAGAACTCTGTTCTCTCCAATTTTTTCTTTTCTCATCTCACAAAAATTGTGAAGAACAAAACATGCATATATTACATATGGGAGATCATTCAAATTTATGTCCATGGCCCTCTTAAGACACCCAAACCTTGCCTTTAATCTTCCAAACGCACACTCGATGACCTTCCTGGACTGACACAGAGTCATCCCGAAGTACTGCTCCTGGACTGTAGCTCCACCATTAGAATATTCCTTCATCAGGTAGGGCATCAATGGGTAAGCCAGGTCTCCCAGAAGGAATACCGGAATAGGGTCCTCATCAGGAACTACTATCCGCCTGCATTGTGGTATGGTGCCATCTCTCAAGACTTGGTTCATTTGGGAATTTTGGAACACCCTAGCATCATGGACACTGCCTGGCCACTTAATGAAAACATCAATAAAACGATAATCATAGTTACAAGTAGCCTGAACGTTGACACTGTAGTGTCCTTTTCTGTTTATATATTCTGTGCTATTTGCCTTTGGCTGCTTAATTTCGACGTGGGTGCCGTCAATTGCTCCTAAGCACTGAGGAAAGCCATGAGCTACATGAAATTTTGCAACTAAGTCTTTTATATCCTCTTCTGTAGTTGGCAAATGAATGTAATCAGGTCCAATGTGAATGGCAATCGCTTTGCAAACTTGTCGAACTACTTTGGAGACAGACTGCCGTTAAACACCAAAGGCATTTGCAGTCTTTCGCAAACGACCTTCATCACTTAAATAGTACAAAGTTATTGCAACTTTTTTTACCACGTCGATCGGCGACCGCATTCTTGTTTCTTTTCCTTCGATGTACGGCCTCAATTTGAAAGCTAGAGCGTACAGAGAGTTCCTACTCATTCGGAAATTTTCCCTCCACTCTTCTTCCACGACAATTCTGGCGACAAAGTTGTCCCACCACACTGAACTTCGTCCAGGTCTTGTCCAAAACCTTCGAGGTTTAGGCAAGCCTCGAGAGAGACGTTTTATCTTCGATTTTCTCGAAGCTGGGAAAGTCAAAAGCTTTAAAATAGCTTGTTTTCTTCTTGTAGAATCTAGGTGACGTCTTAGCAGGAATAAATGTTCCTTCAAGAGCACCAAAAGACTAGAAATCATAACAATCAGAAAAGAAGCCATAACAAAACACCTGTCAGCCATTTTAAATATTCGCGGCTGAATTACGTCACTATATCACTTACCATCGTTTTTACTGTCCACACTAGGAAACACCGTTTTCACAAAGCATCGTTTTCAAATTGCTCCACTCTGGAAAGCGTATTTGAATAGCTCCGTTTTCGGTGATCGTTTTCGGCGTTGTAGTGTGGACGATAGCCGTATCCGGAGCAAAACAGCTCCATTTTCGTTTGAATACGGATTAGTGTGGACGGGACCTAAAATTAACATTTTATAAACGACTCCCGTGTTAGGATGGTCTTATCCAAACACGCAGGAAATAAGCGCGAAACACTAGTCGAATGCAGTCTTTTACACCACTTTTCTTGACTCTAGCAACATTCCCAAGTGTTTAGATAATGCCATCTGAACTCTTGAAACCGGTAGGTAAATTTTTTATAAAATAAAAAGCTTAAGGAAGTGTTGTAAGCTTCATTTAAGCGAGTGGAAATATGAAAGCTAAATTCTCCCAAGCTGAAGAGATCGTAAATTTAGCAAACAACGAAGTCAAAACCACGAAAACGTAAACTTACAGCGAGTTTATTGGCTATCAAAATTTGGAAAAATCACAAGTCTTGATTTAAGTTCGCGAATGGCACTCTAAGTCAATTTAGGCAAAAAATTGTTTGGCTTTCAGAAATGTTAAAGATTCTCACGACGGCATGCTGACAACAGCAATTTCAATTTCTGTGTTTGGATGGCCTGATCCAAACAAACGTATCCCTCCATGCTCTCTTGATCATGACCGAGTAATATATTTTATAGTGAAATTTTTGCTAGTTTGATTGGATAAGAGCATCTGAGCATGCTCAAACGCGACATTTTACGTCATCTGGTCATGCTGATTTTGAAAGGCATGACCAAATTTAATCTCGCGAGTAATATTCTTTATGTGCGAGATACATGTTTGTATTTCATATACATTCAAAACATTACAAAACACTATCTTTATAATCTTTCATTTATTTCCATATATTCTTGACTTGCAATTCAGCCATGTTGATGCTCTGATACAAAAGAATATTTCATCAGAGTTATAGTTGGCACCAGCCGGCGTGGGCGAGCAACATTGTTTCGCAAATCTCAAGAGAACGGTTGCAAGTGAAGAATATATGCTGCCAAAGCAGATATAATCGGTTATTTGCTGGGAAAACTTTTCTTTGATCAATAATCCGGCTACTAAAATATCATCGTAAACTGAAGGCCGTTGCCGAAATTGTAAACAACATTGTGTGTTCGAAGCTTTCGAAAGAGTTTATATAGCAAGAAAGGTAGGCTTTATGGAAGAGCGAAGTCAAGATAGCACTGCAAGGCCAGGGATTTTGCTGGCCCTGCCTCTTGTTCCACGGTTTCAAGGATTTCTCTTCACGTCATGGACAATTAAATTTAAGAAACTCAAGACCAATTCGCACATGGTTGTAAATTTATACTACGTGAAAAAAATTTCGCTCTGACTCTCTTATGTCACAATCAACTTTAAAATAAAATGAAAGAGGTAGGGAAAAAGAGAGCAATCCTCAAAACTTTAACTGCTGTTTTATATTCAAACAGATATAATTGTATTTGTCATGACTAAACAAATGATAGCATAAATAGAGAACTTTAAAGACCTTCCTGAGAGCCTTGCTGTAATTAATTTTGTCTTTAAAAGGTATTTGCATCATAGGATTGATAAGATTCATGTTCTGCCAATTTTTCACAAGACATGTTAAATGATTTGATTTTTTGAATTGATTTGATCATAGAGGATAAAGTTTTGAAGAAGTTAGATGAGTGCTCTTTGTGATTACTCAGGTTGATGAAACAACAGATGTTTCCACTAAAATGCAACTAAGTATTATTCGCATGAATAATATGAGAAGTATCATTGAAAGGTGGCTTGGATTTGCAGCTGTCAGCTGCAATACAACTGCAACTTCTATTTCAGCGGCATCATCTGTTTTGTCTAATAAGTGTCTCCAAGGTTTCTATGCTTATATAAACTTACCTTTTGCCAATTCTGATATAGCAGTTGCAGTTTTATTACATTTCGCTGCATTTCAATGATACTTCACTTTTTATTCAAGCAAACAGTCTTAATTAATTGCTCTTTGTTGGAAACATCAGTTGTCTTATCGACCTGAATACATACGAAAGTGAATTATCCATCACTTTTAAAATTTGACTATTCAGACAATAAACTTTCTTTTATTCATTTTTTATATTATTGTTAGTTTGCCTTCCCCATTATAAAAGTTAAATAGTTTGTATTTTCTTCATGCAGTTAAACAGAACATAGATAATTGTTTGTAATCTTAAAGAGTGAGAGTAAATTACTTCGTGTAGTACTAATTATAGCTAGCGTATAGATATTAAATATTGTTTTTTAAAACATTTTTCGTTGATTTCAAGGGTTACTTAACTTCAGCTATTGGGTAAATGTTGTTGTTTTAGGGGTCGTATACGGTCTAAATTTTAAAAATTTTCTCTCAGTGCCAACCATGGTGGTGCCTCGTAAGGTTGTAAGAGAGCATAACCAAACACTTTTTGCTAGCTACGCCACTGCCTTCATCTCCATACAAAAAACCCTAAGTATCACCATGTAGATTGGTTAATATTATAACAATTCATAAAGTATAAGACAAGGACAAATGTAAATCATATATATATCTGTCCTCGTACATGATTACACAATTAGCCTGAATAGCCAGGCATCTGATATAATGATATGCGCTATTTCCCGATGGAGCATGCATTAACAAACGTTGCATTTTACACGACCGAATGCATTTAAAACAAAAGATAGTGAGGCATTTTATCTCATTTTCTTCTGTCTTAAATGCATTCGGATCATGTAAAATGTGACGTTTGAAACAGGCCTTAGTGTTTTGTTATCTACAAAGATCATAGACTTTGACAGCTTTTCAATAACATCAACGTCTTTCGGAGGAAAATTGCCCGGCGAAAGTTTATTGCAAATTGCTGAAGGTGACAACAGCATTTTTTAGTGTTTTCTGAATCCTTATATAAATAGTTGAATTTTGTTGCTTAACAAGCTCAAAATGGTTTTATTTAGTTCTCGGTTCCGTAGCTGTTTTATTTGTTATGATAACAAAATGATAGGGGAAATATTTTTCACTTTTTTCCATGGGAGGAAACATTTTTTCACTTGTTTCTCTGTGAAGATATAATGCATATATTTTAAGTTATGTGATTGCAAATGATCACATTTTAACGTACACAGCACCAATATAACAATGATATATGAGCCACATATAAGCCATAGACCCAATCGCAAAAAGTCTAGAAATAGCATCGGCATGCGTCCATGGAGGAACCAGCCGAATTTTAAAACATCGATAGTTTATATTATATTTATCATTTCCCGAAGGGAGCTATGTCAAATCTAAAAGTTGCACATTAATGAGAAAATGAGCGTTGTTTGACTGCGTTGTTGAACTACAAAGTCCGCCATCTTGAAACAAAAAATCGCTACGCTTGCACATATATAACACAAGAAATGTCACACAAGAAATGAATTATCAACTAAAGAAGTCTTTGAAAAAATGTGAAGTGCACCAGCTTAAAATTGTCATCATAAAGAAAAACATGAAAAATCTATGTGATAAAAAGACGGCTTATAAAACATCCAATAGTACATTTTTAAAAATATTTCAAAAGTATATATATCAATGTTTTCAATCTTTTATTTCACGGAATAAACGAAAAAAGGGCATTGATTGAATCAAAAATCATCAATACCATGCTCCAAGTATATATTTCTACTTCAGGTTGTTAATAAAATTGCTAAGTCAGCCGTGAGTCCTGGTCCATTGTGCAAAAATATGACTTTGAGCGTCTCAGTCGTCTATATTTCTCTCCAGAAGCCTTCTTGTCTGCGTCATTACTTGCAACATGAGTACAGATTTGGAGCCTTGTCATACTGTATGTACAGTTTATTAAAACAGTAGTAGTACAATGCTCAACTCGCAATATTTCACAACTACAACAAAGATGTTGTGTGCACTGCAAACAGCTGTGAATGTTGGGAAACGTGCATGACAGCCTAATTATAGTATAAAAAGTTTAATAAAGAGCAAAGCTCAAAAAGTGAAAAATGGATTCATAGCTCAACAAATGGCAGAACATGAGAAAGCAAATACGACATCTCAGATACCCTCTATCAAAATTATATTTTATTATTGAAATAACAAACGACATTAGTTAGTTTGAAGCAGCATTGATAAAATAATTCATACAATATGTATTTCTTATCTTATCGAGACAAAAAAAGGCAACGTAGAATCATAACTAGTCTGAGTAGTATTTGAAAAATATTTCGAGTAATAAACTCAAATTAAAAGGAAGTGGAGCTTTGAAATTCAACTGCTACCAAATAATCTCACATATACTGAATTACAAGTCGCCAAAACTGCAAATTCCGTTTGTTGATCGTCTTGTTTTTCTTCGCAGCATATGGACAATGAAAAACCGACTTTAACCATTGCAATAGAATTTGCAGAGTGCCGGTATGGGTATCAAACCCTCTGAAGAGCGAACATTTTTAGCGAAAGACAAATTAGCCCCAGAATTTGAAGCGGATTCCTGCACCATTTCGCCTTTTTACATGAAAGTTTTCGCCATTTAGCAGTAAAAAAGTAAATATACAGCAAGAAGCGAGTGCAAATGATGTTAATTTTGAGAAATTAGCTAACTGTACAATGTTCTTTTAAAAGGTACTCTGTTTCATTGATGGCCTCCCGTAATCCCAAAGAGAGCGTTATGCCATTGTTAAAAGAATATGCAAATTTCATAAAAAAACATCCACTAGATGACAAAGAAGCAAATGGAAATAATCTCAAAAGGGAAGATTATATATATTTTGGGGACAAGAAAGCCATTTAGTACATATCTGTTGGAGGGGGTTATTACGAACAAGGTTATTTTTTTGGAAACTTCCTATAGATTGTGAGGGGAAAAAAGGAGTAGGTAAGAGCCAAAATGTG